CTGAGGGCTCTGATCTATTCACTCATTCATGCATGCATGCATTCATTCAATATTTATTGAGCATCTCCTATGTGCAAGGTGCTACCAGGAGCTGGGAGTACCAAAAGTCGAGAAGACAGTGAGTTGAACAATAGAGAATTACCTTAGGAGGAGTGCGGGAGCACTTGTGCAAAGTGCCATGAGGAGGTTGAAGGAACAAGTCCCTGCCTTGGCACCGCATGGGGAGGGGGGGCGCCCAGGACACAGGTGTGGCTATGTTCCTTCACTGTTGTGGCTGAAACAGCTATAGACACCCAGGCTTCTAACACAGCCTCCATGATAGTTTCAACTCAGTTGTTGGCTGCAAATCATCTATCTGTGTGGGGTAAAGAAGCTTCAAGGACACAGGAAGAAGACAAGTGGAAAACTAAATAAAGAGAAGCAGCCTCGAGTTGCTGGCAAAGAATGGAGGGAACCACATCCCAGAGAACACACTCGGGACACAGTATCGGTCATCCTTCAAAAGCAGAAGACCCTTGCTATTGGCCCTTACACACACACATGGTGCACCGGCCTCCATTTGCATGCCTGCCACACCTGGGTTTGGCTTTCTGAGAGTCACAGTGGCGTCAGGGCTAACTGTCAATTCACGGTTAGGATAAATGTTCTGTCAGCGTCACAGCAGAGGGGGCCTCATGTCCACCGAGGCCACCAGGGTCCTCAGTCAAAGGCCAGGGGATCTGGCCATGGGGGGGGGGCGGTCAGCAGAGCCAGGCTTGACACTTGTCTCTGCCACCAACCAGCTGTGTCCCTTTGGACAAACTGGCTCACCTCTCTCCAGCTTAGTGTTCTGATCTGTAAGAATATTACAGAAGAGCGCCATTAATATTCCCAGTGGGAATGGGAATACTAATAATTGCTCTCTCAAGGGCTTTAGAGTACATTCACTGGGCAAGGGAGAGCCAGGCTCAGAGGTCAGCAGCACCACTAAGGTAAAGGGCATGCATTTTCACCACTGTCGAGAAGTTATTCACAGCTCTCAAAAGAAGCCCCTTGTTTTCTCTGTCTCTTGAAGACCCTTTCATTCCTCCTTCCTCCCTCCCCCGTGCCAGGCTCCGTAAGCCTCCCTTCCGAGGTCTAGCTCCTAACTCCATCTGTTCCTTCTGCCTCCATCGGCTCCAGGTCACCCCCGCCCCTGGCCGTGTCTTCCAGACCCGGGACTCCTCTCCCTTAGCCAGTGAGGGTATCGGAGACCCGCCCTCATCCTATCTTTGCATCAAGCGTTGAGAACATTAACTACACATGAATTCTCCTTCCCATTTTGGAGAAAATGATTTGCATTTACTGGATTCCTGGCTCCAGGAGCGCGCCTGAGGCCAGCTGGGATCTGGCGATCAGGACGTCTGGCTTGCCCTGGGCCTCCCTCATGCACAGGGCAGGAGGAAGAGCATTGCCATGGGCCCCCGGGCTCTGTCACTGGCAAGTGGCTTCTCCCCTGTCTGGGCCTCTCGGTCCCGCCTCCTGTAAAATGCAGCCAGGCCAGGGACTCCTACGTCCTCCAGCCAAGACCTTAGTGATTCTCTGAAGCTCCCCTTCCTGACATTCACGCAACTGAACGACGAGGTGTTCAAACGTGTTGTCAGCATCTGTGCAGGAGGTTCAAGCTGGCAGCTCCAAGTCCCTTGGCTCCAGCTGGTCCATCCGGGGCTGTGCATGCCTGCTTCTGGAGTGTCCTGAATTACCGTGGCAAATGCTTTCACAAGGCTTGACTTGGGCAGACCCAACTTATTGTATATACTTCACATTCATTCATATCACAGACATGTGGAAGTACATTGGCTCCGGATTTCCTGTACGTGGAGGAGGCTTTCAAAGAAATCACATTTCACGAATACCACTCTTCTTATTATATTGCTTCTTCCCTCAGCTCCTCCTAGGCACCTACTGCTTCTCACAATGGCTCTTTGAGGGCGGGGAACCCATGGCCAGTGTGTAAAGGTCCCCGAGACGCTGAGTGCCTTGACGGCAATTAGAAAGAAACCCCAGGTAGCTTGCCCTCGGGAGTGCTATAATTTAAATTTTGGGCCACAAGGGATAGCCAGTTAGTCTCTGCAGGGAGAGCTTATTACTCAAACCAGCCTCATCCTAATCTGAGGACCCACTAGGGTGCCCTCCCTTCCTGGTTTGCCTGGGGATTTCCTGTGTTTGACACTGAAAGTTCCCAGGAAGCCTTCGGTCCTGGGTGAACCAGAACAGAACCACTGTTCTGAACCGCCCTCAGAGTGGTTGCCCTAATAACCAGGGTCCTCAAATTTCCATGGGTATAAGAATCATCACGTGTGATGATTAAAACCGCAGACTTCTGGGGTGGGTGATTCTCGTTCAAGTATCTTCCTGAGCACACCAAGAAACACTGGTAGCAACTCATTGTGTGTTTACCATCACTGCTCTTTTGTCACTTGGCTATCAGTGGTTTTTGAGAGTTCCGGGGAGCTTTTAAAAAAATACTAATGCCTGAACTTGACCCAAATCAATTAAATCAGAATCTCTTAGGGTGCAGTCAGGGCATCGGGATTGTATTTTTAAAGCCCTCTCTCAGACCAGGAGACCAGCTAGTAGCAGACATGATGGGCATTATTTACCCTCGGATCCACAGTGCCTAAATCCTCAGCTGCACCTGGTTGCAACCCCTGCACCTCCCACCATTTCCCCTCCTGCTATAATACAGGAAAAATACTGTCAACCGAAAAAAGAGGCTGAGCCAATAAAAACCAAAGCATTTCTTTAGGGTCTCAGAATTGCAGTTTGGAGAACACAGATATGGGCAGCAAACCAAATAGTCTGCTCACCCTAGGGTGAGCATTTGGGAACAAAATCAAGCATTTTTAAAGACAAAAGGGAATGCCTGTATACGTTGTTTAAGAAGAATTTTGATGGGCATTGGTGGCAGAATATCACAGCCGAGGGGGCCTGTTGCTGGTGACTTGTCGCTAAGGCTGTCACTAAGCAAAATCTCTTAGTATAGAAAGTTGCAGGCTGAGTTCTTGGAATATCATATGTGGTTGGGCCCAGTTCAAAAGTTCATGGTCCTACTGGGTGAGGATGTGCCTATGTCCCATCTCTTTAACGGGCCTTCCAGCTCCATTTTATTTTAAAGATTTTATTTATTTATTTGAGAGAGAGAGAATGAGAGAGAGCGAGAGAGAGCACATGAGAAGGGGGAGGGTCAGAAGGAGAAGCAGACTCCCTGCTGAGCAGGGAGCCTGATGCGGGACTCGATCCTGCGACTCCAGGATCATGACCTGAGCCGAAGGCAGTCGCTTAACCAACTGAGCCACCCAGGCGCCCTCCAACTCCATTTTAAAGCCCCTCGACGGGC